GAAATGTTTAGAACTCTTTAAGCCAACTATTCCTTTTCCAGGGATTGCATGATATTTCCCTTTTTAATCATTTCTACATTGGAAAATCTCCATATCTGCTTTGTTTCTTTCCAACCAATTGGTCCAGTTTTGTTACTACAGTACCACCAAATGAAACGTTTGGCTCACCACTTGAAGCAAACCTTTCTGGCTTCTGGACAAACTTAATATTAAATGAATACCCATCTGCAATTCAGACCCTTGATTTTCTCCTAGATAGATAGATCAAAGACATGTCAAGCAGATTTACTGTATTTTTCATTCATTAGCAATTAATGGGTCAGATTCCCCAAATGGTTGGTTCCTAGTGTCATCTAAAAAAATAATACCTCCAATCTGCATGTAAAAGTGTTCTATCTGTGCTATCTCAGGGCAATAATTCTACTTTGAGCCATCCTGTAGAAGATCAATCATGAATGCTGTAACAGAGCATCAGAGTTGGAAGGGACTTTGTAGGTCATCTAGTCCAACCCCCCACCTAAGCGAGAGACCCTACACCATTTCTGACAAATGGCAGTCCAATCTCTTCTTGGAAGTCTCAAGTAATGATGCTCCCACAACTTCCGAGGGCAAGCTGTTCCATTGGTTGATTGTTCTCAATATTGGTTGATTGTTCTCTATACTTTTTCTAGAGTCTCGACATATTTTTTATAGTGTGGTGACCAAAACTGGATGCAGCTATTGAGATATACAAGGAAATGGTGGTGTGGTAAGAAATGCATCACAGCATCATATGATTAGCAGGAGACTCAGCCTGAATACTTCTCGGAAGTGTGTTTAATCTGAAAGAGCATTGATCCTCTTCCCTGACCTCCTTACCTTTTATATACTAAAATGGGTTGAGGGAGGAGGAGAAGACTTCATCCTGACAGTTGCCATTTGTGCTCTAAAGTCTTCCAGTTTCCTAATGCAACAAAAGACAAGTTAGAGATTTCCAGACAATTGAAATAAAATCGCCCCCGGCTAAAACTTGCTGATACCTCATAACAGCTTTTTTGCACACCCCTTACTAAGCAGTAATCTTTTAAATGGCAGCATCAGAAATCTTTTGATCTTCTGCCATTCTGCCTGCTGCCTGTATCTTGGAATTGCTGAAGGTAGAGCTTTGCTACTGGCATATCCCAAAGATGCCTTTGGCTCATTTGATCATTTCACAGGAAAAGGATGCCAATTTCTTGCTTGTTTCATCTTGCCCAGCAGGAAATCTTCTATAAAGACAGGCCTTGCATACATTTAGTGAAGCTTTATTTCAAAAAACAAATATCGGGCACTCTGACTTTATTTCTCTCTCTCTGGGAAACATGGCAATTATGAGAAGGAAAAAAAAGGGTTTTATATTCCCATTTTATATTCCTTCCAATGCCATAGAATCAAGTTCTGAGACTTCAACATAAATCTGAATGGCAATCTACAGAATTAATTTGTCAAATATCGGAAGCATATCCAGGCTGAAGCAATGTTTTGCTGATCTAAAGCAATTGCAAATCAAAAAAGAACAAATGAAGAAAACCTCATTCTGGCAGACATCAAATTTTTAATATCATGTCCTTGCAATATTGCCTTTGTCCAGGGGTGGTGTTCTACTGGTTGAGGCCAGTTCAGGTGAATCGGCTGTTAAAGTTACAGCTGGTTCGCCAAACCGATATTTCAACCAACTGGCTGTCCCTGCCCACCCCACCCCTCCCCTCCCCTCCCAGGGCACACAATGCAGGTAAGTGCAGGGTCCACATGGAGACTCTGGGAGGGGGAAAAATGGGCCTCACAGAAGTCAGGAAATGGGCCTGTTTCCAGCTTCCAGAGGGCCTCCAGAGCCCGAAGGAGGCCCTTTTCACCTTTTCAGAAGCCCGGGGGAGGCCTCTGGCCCCTTGGGAAGGCAAAAAAAAATGGTCCTCCCGGAAGTACTGGAAGTCACGAAATGGACCTGTTTCCGGCTTCCGGTGGGCCTCCAGAGTCCAGGGGAGGCTGTTTTTGCCCTTCCAGAGGCCCCAGGGAAGCCTCTGGACCTTTGGGAGGGTGAAAACAGTCTCCTCCAGACTCTGAAGGTCCACCGGAAGCCAGAAACAGGAAGTTCTGGTTGGCCACATCCACCGTGGCCATGCCAACCCAGCAACCTGGTAGCAAATTGGTTTTTAGAATGTTTGAATGCCACCTCTGCCTTTGTCTCATTGTCTAATTCACTGCTAAGGCAATGTAATATCTTCCTTAGCTGTTCCCGTTTTAAAGTAATGTCTTCCTTCTTCTCCTGACACAATTTTGGCTGTGGATATCTGTTAACAGAAGTTTTGGAAATGACAGCTGGTGTGATCAGAGATGGGTTCTATCCACCTCCTACTGTCCATTTTAGGCTACTGCAGGCAAATGGTGTTTTCCCCTCCCCCGCCCCCCCCCCACCCCGCCCCATTGTTACACTAGTCATAGACACAATATTAGGACATCTTGGCATGTTGAAATTTGCAGAAAAAAAGATTAAATGTTTTTTAAAACTTCATTGAATGTTCCATTTCAATTTTTTCCCCCTTTCTTCTAATCCTCCCCAAAACAAACAAACAAAAAAAACCACCTTCAATCAATACCAAAAGAATCAAAATCATTTATTTGAATAGAAAAAGATATTATCATTAAAACAAAATGGATCCCATCAATACACCAGTGGACAGAATATTCTTATATCTCAGAGTTAGAACAGCCTCCAAAGGTTTCAAGACAAAATGGGTATGGGCTACAGGCGACAGCATGTGTGAATGTTAGTATGCATAATATTAAATGTGCATGCCTGGATAGTTGTCTTCTTCAGGAAGGAATGAAAAGATCTGCGTTTCCCATTCTTGCACATTTTCTGCTTAAGCCAAAGAGTTGTGAGTGCAGATATGTTAGGAACTGTGTGAATAAGCAGAAGGAATGTTTTCTTTCATTCAACTCTAACAGAATCACCTTTCTTACTTTTTGATAAACAGGTGTTGTTTTCCTGCTTTAAATATGGACTCACAGTGAGAAGGTGCCTGCAGGCAACTATTCCGAAGCTGGCCTATAAAGTTATGTACAAAGTCTTTGATTTTTTCTTAAAGTGGCTGCTTATATAAGATTTTGAGATATAGCTTTCTAAATATGCTAGGACAAGAACCAGAATGTATCTGAGCCTAGTTGGAGTCCAATTATGTTCTGCAACTTTAATAAGAAGACAGCCTAGTGGTTCATGACTGTCCTTAAGTCCAACTGTCATCAGATATAAGTCAGAAAACCTGGGAAAGAGGTCTTCTTTGTAGCATCCCCTGATTCTGAAATTCTTGACCTGGAAAAGTAGCTTAAATGCCACTCTTTGTACTTTTGTGTCAAGCTTTTTCATAATTTCATGAGGAGTAGAATGGGAACAAATCAATAGACTGGCATAAGACTGTATGACCTTTTGGGAAGTGGGAGATGGCTAACCTATATTAATAGCAATAAAACTTAGGCTTATTTACTGCTTCACAGTGCTTTACAGCCCTCTCTAAGCAGTTTACAGAGTCAGCGTATTGCACCCAACAATCTGGGCCCTCATTTTACTGATCTTGGAAAGATGGAAGGCTGAGTCAATCCTGAGCTGGTGAGAATCAAACTGCTGTCAGTCAACAAAATTAGCCTGCAACACTGTGCCGCCATGTTTTTTCTTTACATTTCATGAACAATGTTGGCTATAATAATGGGAGCTACATTCAACACACATAAAGAGCACCAGTCTGGAAGGCAATGCACAGCCATCTTGTATAAATTATTGTTATCTTATATATTTTTGGTGACAGCTGAAAAACTTTTGCATTCCTTCTGGCTTTGAAAATCCTCTTCCAGCCATGTCTTTTTGCTGTTGTTTTAACTGACATTTTATTCTGTAGTATTCTTATTGCTGTTGATCCATGAATAAATGTCATTTCATTTTTATCATTTCAGTTAGTCCTGGCAGTATTATGTCCTTCAGATCACAAAGAATCAGAAATAACTGAAAAACTGAAGCAATATAGCCTGTTTGGTATAACTAGCAGAGAAGAGCAGAATATACATTTATAAGTTGAAATAACTAAACTGCTACATCAGATCAAAATGCTACTTTTGGCTTCCCACAGTGGTCCATCAGCTGCTTCTCTGAAGCACACAAAGAGGGCTCAGATGTGATTCCTCTGGTTTGTCCCAGTGCCTGCACATTCGTGTTTGAACCTTGGAAAAGATGGTTCCATTTCTCAATGTCAGATAGCTATTGTTTTTCATTCATATCCTGCAGTAATGAACTGTACTAAGTCATGGAAATAAACTGCAAAAATATAATTCCTTTTTTTTTTTTTTGCTTACTCTGATCCCACTCTTTCTGGAATATCCTGATGTATTCACTTAAACTTGTATTGATAGATAGTTTTAATTGACATGCTCGAAAGTCAGCAGCTTGGCTTCATCAAATTCTAGTAGGGTGATGTCTATTAAGGCCTAAATTTTCACCTAGTTGATTAGACCATAAGACTTGAGAAGAGCAAAAAACAGAGGAACAGCTGATCAGATCTTGCAACGGGTAGTCTGGACTGAGCACCAGCAAAATCCCATTACTAAGTTCCTGAAATCTGAAAGTTCTGAGAAACAGCATCACAGGACACCAGCCACCTAAACTGCAATACGAAACTGTCCCAGCTTAGTATAATCTACAAACCACATCTCACAACAAGAAGACATTAGTTGGTCATAGAAGCAAACCAACAACAGTTCTGAAGAAGCTTCTTGGATGAGAAGCAAAACATTTTCAGGGAAAAGAACAAGAAAGCCTAGTTGCCTTTTGAACAGCATCTCGGGGGCAATGATGATATGGATTATTGTAAACAACTGTATCTACAAATTAGCTGCATTCCACTGATAAAAACTAAATGGAAATTATAGATGGTATATAATACTTTCTGGCTAGTTTTCAACATCCTCACTAGCTCTCCTCCACTGTGGACATTCTTCATGTCTCATATTATTCAATTTGAATGAGGCCAAAAAGCTTCAATAATGTTTTCAGCTATATTTCTCCTCTATTGTTCTTAGTTAGGGAGTCTCCAAGTTTAGGATAAGTTTAATCACTGAAAAGAGGGGATGCTTCTGCCTATATGAGTTAGAGTTTGATGTGATTTAGTTCCTGTCCTTTGGGAGCCTCACTGTTCTTATTCTCCACTTATCTGCAAATCCTTCTGGACACTATCTTGACTGGCACCACAGCCCATTCCTATTAGATCAGTGGAAGAGCCCCTTTACTCTGTCTTCTCCCTTGTTGTGCCTATCTCCCAACCGGGCAATGGGAGTTTCTTCTCCTAAGTCTTGAAGGTATCTCCCATCCCGTGCACTTCCAGTGCCCATTCCTCCCACTTTAACAAAGCGAGAAGCGGCGGGAATTGATGTTCATTTTTGTCACGCCAATGAGCTTGAGTGGGGTGGAGAGGCTGAAGGAGGATGTGAGGGGGCAATCGCAGAGGAGGTCAGAGAGCTCATCCCTCTCTTCCAGCTCATAGGTGGCATCATTCAGCATCCGCCGGTGGAGGTGGCAGGTCTGCTCGATCTTGAGTTTGTTGATATCACTGCGCAGGCGCATGAGCTGCCGAGCCAGCTGCTGATCCTGGAGACGCATTTCCATCTGGAACAGAAAAGCAGGAAGGGCGTGACAAGATGGCAAAGGATCATCAAATCAGGAGGAGATGTGAAGAGTTGGGGTTGCAACTTGTACCTCTTTTGACAAAAAATGAGATGGCTTATTCATCGCCACTGCTGCCATAGTTAAAATTCCTGATGTACAGGGTCTAGGAAAGCCTTTGCCCCATGACAAGTTCTTTTTTTGTGATCTACTTCATTCCTGCCACAAACATGACCCTGGGAGAGTGCATCTATCATAAATACATGCCAGATGCCAACGCCTGAATTTTTATCATGTAACTAATGTCTTAAGTGTGACAACTGGTCACAAATCCCCTTTTTTTCATTGCAGTTGTAATTTTGAATGGTCATTAAACAAATAGTTTAAGTTGAGAACTACCTGTTTATGTTATGTTACATGCTCATATATGCTTTGCTGTGAGTATTATTTTAACATCTGTAACATCTCCCTACGTATGCTGCTGCTCCTATATACAGAATATAATCTGAAAGATATTCTATTTTCTACACTATATAATCACATGGACAAGAACCTATAGATATTTAGATATATCTTAATGTTAGGTTCAATTAATTAATAACAAAACCAATCCCCTCTCTTCCACAATGTTCTATGCTACCCAAATACCTTAATAAAATTCTGGATAATGATGATTGCAATTCAGCCTACATATAATATCTGGTTTACAAGTGTACCACTTACCTCTGTTGGATGCCTGCCACCTAGTGGCCACCAAATCTTTTGAATTTAATTGCTGTTCCTGTTGCCTCATTCACATAATCCAGCTCTTTCCCCACAACTGAAACTTTGGAGAAGCTTTTATTTGTTTGTTTGTTTTGATTTGTCAATCGCTTACAAGATAATAGATATAAGTATATACATAGTTATGAATACATGAAATGGGTACATATAAGAAAAATAAAAGAAACAATAGGACAGGGACAGTAGGCACATTAGTGTGCTTATGTACTCCCCCTACAGACCTCTTAGGAAAGGGGTGAGGTCAATAGTAGACAGTCTAAGGTTAAAGTTTTGGGGGTTTGGGGAAGAAACCACAGAGTCAGGTAGAGTATTCCAGACATTGACCACTCTGTTGCTGAAGTCATATTTCCTGCAATCAAGTTTGGTGCGGTTAACCTCGAGTTTGCATCTGTTGTGTGCTCTTGTGTTGTTATGGTTGAAGCTGAAGTATTCATTGACAGGTAAGTCATTGCAATGTATAATTTTATATACCATACTTAGATCAGAACGAAGATGGCGTAATTCCAGGTTTTCTAGATCTAGAATTTCAAGTCTGGCAGCATAAGGTATTCTACAACGAGTAGAGGAGTGGAGAACTCTTCTTGTAAAATATTGCTGGACTTTCTCAACTGTGCTAATATCAGATACATAATGTGGCTTCCAGACTGATGAGCTGTATTCGAGTATTGGTCTAGCAAATGTTTTGTATGCTCTAGTTAGTAGTGTGATATTACCAGAGAAAAAGCTACGTAGGATTAGGTTAACAACTCTTAATGCCTTTTTGGCTATGTAGTTACAGTGGGCTCTAGCACTTAGATCATTAGAGATGAGTATTCCAAGGTCCTTTACAGAGCTCGGATCATCAAGTCTTGACTATTCAGCTTGTATTTTATTTTCTGATATTTTTTTTGCCAACATGTATGCATTTATTTGTTGTGATTTGACGTTGCCATTTGTTTGACCATTCTGATAAATATTCCTTTACTGAGGATGGTTTATATGCATTTCCCCAAGGCTGTTCCTGAAACTATCTGAACAACTGCCTCAGTAAAGATATATTTTTCAAAACGCGTCAGGCCAGCAATAGAAGGTTTACTGGTGCCTGTGAATCTTTCCCCTAATGTTTTGCCTTTGCCTACTCTTCCTCTGGGAAACTGTTGACAAAATGAATGGATGGCAGAAATAAACAAAATGTGTCTCAGAAACAAATGTCAAAAATCTCCCCTCCAATTACAATTAAGATACAATGAATGCAAGTGTCTCAGAACAAGAAATGCAAATAGTCTTTGAGGGGGTGGGATTAGTACAAATTTGATTGTATTGATTTGATTAAAATTAATTAACAGTCAATCAATACAGTCAACAGGATTAAAATCTATGTATTTAACCAATATAAAGCCAGTTTGGCATAGAGGTTAAGGTGCTGACCTGTAGACCAGGAGTTCTAATCCCTCTGTAGGGATGATAACCAATTGGCTGACTTTGGACCAGTTACTCTCTCACACCCCAACCCACCTCACAGGATTGTTGTGGAGAAAACAGGAGGAAGAGGAAGGAGTATTACGTATATTTGCCAACCTGAGTTACATATAAACCAGTGGTGGGATTCAAATTTTTTTTACTGCCGGTTTTGTGGGCGTAGCTGGTGGGCATGGCTTGGTGGGCATGGCAGAGAAAGGATACTGTAAAATCCCCATTCCCTCCCCACTCTTGGGGGAAGGTTACTGCAAAATCCCATTTCCTCCCCACCCCACTAACCTGCTTTCCAGCTCCGTTCTCCTGTGCAGGGCAACCAAAGAAGACCCAGCCAATCAGCTGGGCCTTAGGAAGCAGAGAATAGATGGAGGTGGTGCCAGTCAGAGATAGTATTTTCCAGTTCTCCGAACTACTCAAAATTTCCACTACGAGTTCTCCAGAACTAGTCAGAACCTGCTGAATACCACCTCTGATATAAACTAATAAAGGTGGGATAAAGGTCTGATAAATTTCCCTCTTCTTTTAATGAAAAATTCCATTGAAGAAAAATGTGTAGATATTCTCAAGACAGGGAAGGGTCATTTGTACCCTGGAACTGTAAGATTGTGCACCTTGCTTTTTTAAAAAAATCAAACAACTGATGTTCCTTTCCTGATTAAAAAGGTAAGTTAAACTAGAGGAAAAGTGTTCAAAGTCACTCTGAGAGTGAGATGGATAATACCTCAAATTGACCAATAAATAAAATACAGTTATTGCAGTTCACAACAGAAAGTGACTGTTTTGTTTGCACAAGGAGACTCTGTCTAGTCAACAATATTCAATCAGCTTTTCAGAGAGAAGGTCTGTCAACTTCTGCCAGTCACAAAATAGCAGCAAGTCGTTCAGACAGTGAAAGTGGTGGATTATGGCAATTGTAGATGATTAAACTAGTATTTCCCTAACTGCTACCCTCCACATATGTTGGAAATAAAACTAACTTGTTAGGTAAGAAATCTCCAAGAGTTGTGGTTCCTGTTCATCTGGAAGAAATATGATTGATTCATGTCATTTGGTCAGCTTTATTGGCTTTGTTGATGTTATCTGCCAGCCTTACTTCTGAAAAATGTTGTTAATTCATTTTAGTTCTGTGTTTTCCCTGAGCATCATTTGTTATAAAACCAATATGAGAGTTGATTGTCAGATTGATAAAGGTTCTGAGGACTGTTTTGTAAATAGCCATTGCAATCTCCCCATTTTCATGAAGGGCCTTGATTACACAGAAGATTACATTAGAAACTCTCCATATTAGCATACGTGTGTGTGTGTATTCTAAACTGGAAATATTTCAATTTCTTTAACCCCAAGTTCTTAATAAATCTCATAAAGGAGAACTTTGCAACAATCTTCCTTGAAAAGAATCACTTTTCATTTCAGGTGGCTGCTAAAGAGTCTGATAACTGGGTTGGAGATTTAACAAATACTAAATCTGATTACACAGGATCCCATTTCAAAGGCAGTCTTTCATGAAATGCTGAACATGCTTAGTTTGGTAGCTATCCTTATTTTCTTTCTTAAGAGGTTGCTGGTAAAACCAGAATGTCAGATTAGATTAAAGTTAATACATATTGTCAGGCCATTTCGGTGTCTTTGTGGCTTTACAACATGGTTTTTATTTTTAGATTGTTTTTTTACTGTACTGATCCCCCACCCCCCCGCCCGTTTTTTTTTCTTATAGGGATCAGCTTTTTTCTAGCTGTAGTCCAATAGCATCAAACTTTTCCCAGGGAGATAAAGCTTCTTGCTGTCAAGAATGTTCTGCCTTCAGGGTGAGAAGACTTTTTTGTACTCTAGTAAAATAAAAATGGAGAGGTTGAAAGTGGGAGGGGAGAGGCTGATATTTTGCTGATAAAGGGCACAAGGGAAAGTTTGGGACGGTTGACAGAAGAATTACATGGACAATGAGGAGCAAGATGGCATTGCTGGATCTCATCCCATGTTCAGTACTTGTGTTTATAGTTTCTGGTAGCTTGGATAACTAGCAAGCTTCTTGCATAGTCAAATATTCTTTGGGAATAGAAAAATATACAGGGATAGAAAAATAATAGTTTCAACTCCACAGGGATATAATGTTAATCTCTGAAGTCTGCTAAAGCATAAAATCTTCTCTAATCTCTTTCTGTGTTTCTAAGAAAGATTCCTTAAATGAAGAGATGTAAGAACAAGAATGAATGCATCCACGAGTTGCTTTTCATATTTTTCCCTTGCTACCATTTTTCCCAGGTCAACTTATCCTCTGCTTGCGTGACCTGGATTGCTTTTGACAGACAGTTCCTGGCATTCATTCAATCAAAAGCCATTGTATAAGTTATTCCATCTTTTTTTTTTAATAAGAAAAACATGGACGCAATGATGAAAAAGCATGGGAAGATTTCATGTTGAAAATTATATTGTCTACACACACATCCATACAAATTCTATTGAATGGAAGAAGCTTTCCTCCTTCCAGAAACAGCATATGCAAAACACTATCTAATCAAACTGCATGAAAACAAAAGAATGAGCTTCAATGAAGTTTTGTGTTGTTTTTTTCTTTATCATGTTTTTTTCTTTATCCTTAACACTCATTCACTGTAACACTTTTAAAAAAGAAGAATTTATTGCTAAACTGAAACAATGATTGGCCAGTATAGTTAATTTTATTCATTAATTTGCTAGATTGATTGCTTGCCTGTCATTCAAGAGCTTCATACATGGCATATAATGTTCCTCCAACTTTTTCACACAACTCTTTGGGGCAATTTTATACAAAGAGAGTAGCCCGACCTTAAGTCACCCAATGAACTCAGCGAACTTTCATAATTGAGGATAAATCTGAACTTTCCCAAACGTTTTTAGGAGGACCATCAGGAAAAAAAAACTAAGCTAGTAATCCTTTTCCTAGGTTTTCCCTGCAGCATTTGGTATTCAAAAATGCAATTAATTGTTTTGAACTTTAAATTTTACTTCACTCCAATGACTTAAAGGAATTAAAGGAATTAACTTCCTTCCATTAATTCTTCCCCAGCCAGTTTTTAAAGATATCCATCTGATGACAATATCCCCATTTTGAGACAACAGTGTAATGTTAAGTACTCTTGGTAAGGAATAAGTCCCTGCTCACCAGGAGACTGCTGGAAGCATGTAGGATTGCATGGCACTTTACATACTGTAAGAAATCCTTTCTATAGTTAGAACTGCATTCATTTTGATAGGTGACTCCAGGTTTGAAGGGAAAAAAGTAGTAAACATACCTCTTTTATTTATTTATTTTTCCCCTCTCTCTTATTTTACTAGGGTCTATGTAATTTGACAGGGCTCTATTATAACTTCTCACTCCATCTGGATAGTAATAGCTACTTTGAGGGGTCCTTGTTGCTCTCAGAGTTTGGTTGTTTTCCTGCAGACCTTTCATTACCCAAACTAGATAACATCATCATAGTTTGGGTAATGAAACATCTGCAAGAAAACAAGCAAGCTCAGAGAGCAACAAGGACCCTACATTTCAGCCCTGAGCTACAAACATTCTCCTTTATTGGAATCACTACTTTAAAAAAGAAAAGAAAAAGGCATTTGAAACTTTTTTTAAAAAAAGTCTCAGATGTGCCCCTGTTTTCCCCCCCTTATCTCATTGATTCCAGGATTAGGCATTTTGTAATCTCAGACTCAGTGCTTCCTTTTAGCTTTACGGAAATATCTTTCATCTTGCTGTGTGGAACAATTATATAGGCTGTATATAGAAATCCAAACGTATTTTGCTAATTCTTCCTCTTTTTTTTCTCAGTTCATCTCATGGCCCTACAAGCATTTCCATCAAAACTAGAGAAAGTAGCATTTTAATCACAGCCTCTATTTCCAATCTGATAATGGAATGGTCTCACACTTGGAATCGGGTGGTTTTATTAAAGTTATATGAACAGATTTTTCCTTCCGATGCAAAGTTTATGGTGGGATGCAATCTATTAATACATCAGTTTGAAGCATCACATGCCTCACCATGCTGCTATATTGCTCACCAAGTGACTAAAAGCAATACTCAGATAATGAGACAAAAAAAGAACTTCACCTTAACAAAATTAAGTTTCTCCTTGACTGTTTCAAATCAGTCCAAATAATATCTTTCCCCATTTTATCATTTTCTAAAAACAGAACTGAAGCAAGGCATATGCATGTATATCCTGCTCTTGCCTTTTGTAATGTGAATACCGAGCAGATAACACATGTAAGCCATTAAAATACTGTATATCCCTTGTTCAAACTGTCTGAAAGTCAATCAAGTCTATAGGACTTAATATTGCCATGTCTCCTTGACAATTATGACTCTCCTACTAAAGATGTCTTGTTGAAGTCAGAATCTATTAATCTTCCAAAACCTTGTAAAAAGCACATAGCAAGCTGCCTTGTGCATTAATTAAAAAAATTAATTGCCAAGAATAGGCCTAATTTTTGTCTTTTCAACTGTAATCCTAAAACATGCCTAGAGGTTCTGTTGATAAAGAATTTTAAAAACAATAGGAAATTACTTACCAACTCTTTTCTGAGCCAATTTAATGCTTCATCGATGTTTCCAAAGCCACACACTTTCTCCGGGGCAAGCAAAATTGGCTGTCTGGAAGAGCTTCCATTAATACAAACCTGCACATCTCTCAAAGAAATATTTTCCTCTGTTGGTTTCTTCTCTTGCCTCCCCATGTCCCTCTCAGAAGGTTTGGAATGGCTCTTCCAGGCTGGTCCTTCCAGCTGAGCTTTCCATTCCAAATAGGAAGGCCTTCTTGTCTCCAGCCTCAGTTTCTCTGTCAGGGCTTTCAGATTCCGCAAATGATCATCAAATGGGGGATCACCTTCAGCCTTATCATCCACACTATCCAGCATTTCTTCTATCTCGATTTCTGGCATGGATGTCATATTTTCTGCTGGGAAATCAGAAACATCCACTGAAAGGTTTGCAACAGAGATGCAGGCAGGACCATTCAAACAAAGATTTGCTCCTCAGAACTTCCTGGGCACATAGCAGTTTTTCCCACTCAATTCAAGACATTTCTTTCATCCAACCATCTAAGCAGAAAAACAAAGACATATTGTTTGATTCAGCCAGGAACCATTAAAAAAAAAAGAACAAACATGCAATCAGAACTTCCTTCTATGGCTTGACTGGAGAAGAAATGGAAGTTGAATATTTCAGCTTAAGAAAACATCCAGCTACGAGATTTTGCACAGCTATTTGGTGATGTTCTGGGGCAAGAGCAAACAAGCCTTTAGCTTTGCAGAGAAACATTTTGCTGCAATGAGACCTGTCAAGAACTATGCTTCAGGCCATAAAGTGAATTACTAAGGATGAAGTCAGACGTTGAGAAGAAATGCAATGACTGGGTGTTACACAATTAATAAACTCTGATCATTATATTTTCCTTACATGTTCTGAACTTTTCACCATTATTCTTTGCAAGAGGAAAAGAATAGGGATGAGAGGAAAAGAGTGGGGTAGTAAGGATGGAAAAACTGCCTCACTTCAGGAGCTTCCTTTATGGAGGGTCAAATTAGGCATCATACGAATAATGCATGTATCTGTGTCTAAGCATATTTTAAACTGAAAAGGAAACATGGAGGTTGTAACCATCAGTACCTACAGAGAAAATACTTCAAACTCACACACAGCTATATTTTCACTCAAATTTCAATCCACCAGATATTGCTCTTTTGGGCAGTCACAGAACTCTGCAGTTGAGTTCACTTTTCAGGTATGAAGAAAGGGTTACATATTGCTATTGTTCCCCACAATTTCTCCCCTCAGACCTAGCATCTTCTGTTCAGAAATAGTATTCAGCAGGTTCTGATCAGTTCTGGAGAATTGGTAGTGGAAAATTTGAGTAGTTCAGAGAACTGGCAAATACCACCTTTGACTGGTCCTGCCCCCATCTATTCTCTGCCTCCCGAGTCCCAGCTGATCGGCTGGGTCTTCTTTTGTTGCCCTGCATAGGAGAACAGAGCTGGAAAGCAGGTTAGTGGGGTGGGGAGGGAATGAAGATTTTACAGTATCCTTCCTCTACCATGTCCACCATGCCACCAAGCAATTCCATACCCACAGAACTGATAGTGAAAAATGTTGAAACCCACCACTGCTTCTGTTGCTGCTTTTTAGTTACAACAAAAAGATATTAGGAGGCTATTTTCATATTTTAAAATATTCATACTTTAACATTCCAGCTTTCACTCCAGAGAAAAGTGTTAAATTTATCTGGAATTTTAGAATAGAATAGAATAACAGAGTTGGAAGGGACCTTGGAAGTCTTCTAGTCCAACCTCCTGCTTTTGTAAGAAACCTTATGGCATTTCAGACAAATCATTATCCAATCTCTTCTTAAAAATTTCTAGTGTTGGAGCATTCACAACTTCTGGAGGCAAGTTGTTCCACTGATTAATTGTTCTAACAGCCAGAAAATTTCTTCTTAGTTCTAGGTTGCTTCTCTCCTTGATTAGTTTTCACCCATTGCTTCTTTTTCTGCCCTCTCTGGTGTTTTGGGGGATAGCTTGACTCCCTCTTCTTTGTGGCAGGCCCTGAGATATTGGAACACTGCTATCATGTCTCCCCTACTCCTTCTTTTCATTAGCCTAGACATACCCAGTTCCTGCAACTGTTCTTTATATGTTTTAGCCTCCGGTCCCCTAATCATCTTTGTTGCTCTTCTCTGCACTCTTTCTAGAGTCTCACAATAGGATTACCTCTATTGTAGTTGATGTGAGCTTCCAAATCCTCTTCAAACAACCAAACTTGGCCACAATAAATGATAAACTGCTAACTGAATAAGTGAAATGAGTTTTAGCAGAGGTGCTCTGCCATTAGAGTCCCCCTCGTAGTCATTGGGGTTCATATAATTCCTGAACAAATTTTTGTAAAACTAAGTTTCATTTCTTCTGAGAATAGAAAAGCATATATTGTAAGTAGAAATCTGGTTGTCAGAACTAGCTAGGTTCACACAACTTTAAAACCGGAATTAACAAAATACAGTTTAGTGATTAAGAGGCCAGGCTGGAACAGAATTCTGTGAATTCTAGTCTCACTTTAGACACAAAGCCAGACTTTGAATCAATCATTTACTTTCAGCCCTAGGAAAGAGGCAATGGCAAACTACTTATGAAAGACCTTGCCAGGAAACATCAGGGACTTGCTCAGACAGTCTCTGAGAACTGAACATAATTGAACAGAAGAAAAAATATATACAACTGCTACTTTTACTTCACAAGCTCTGCCAAAAGAAATAAAGCTTATTTTTGTTTAAGACAATGGCCTAGTTATCACATGTTGAACAGCAAAGTAATCAGCCATTTTAACTTAATCTAGTGATTTGGGCAAACTCAGCCACAGGGTGAGGTTGTAGCACTTAAAATGCAAGTAAGAGCTGGCACAATTTAATGATCATCTGTAAATATACACACAGAAATGTAACCTGTCAAAACTTTCTTCTCCCTGATGGTTTTCCAGAATCTTTTCTCCCTGCATGAACATGTTTCCAGACCCTTTTAGTTATGCTATTGTGATTCCTAGAAGAACAAATATTTCTTTGTCCTTTTAGATATTTGTAACCCAACCTAAAAGCAAATGAACAGGAAATCTCTGAAACTTTCCCTTAATAAAGATTTGGGCCATTCATTGCATCAAAACCTCACAGGGTTGTTGTTGTGCGGAAAAGAGGAGGAGGAAAGAATATTAGATGCATTGGCTTCTTGGAATTATTTTTTTAAATAATAAAGGCAGGATAAAACAAAACAAAACCCACAATAGTGCTGATGTCAAGCCTTGACCCAAGGATATCTGTCTCCATGGTTACAATGACCCTTTTGTCCTTACATTAGGAAGATCTGTTTAATCTAGGGGAATGAATCAACCAGCTCTTCTAATAAAAATGGTTGTTCATGCAGAATGAGAAAATGTTTCTCTCATTCTCCTTCATTTATTCTCTGAAATAGTAGTAAATGAGATCTATCCAGCCTTGTATTTTTTATTTTTTTTAGGAATGTATGAAGACAGCCGGAACTCTCTTCAAGAGATTCAGGCAACCAGACTCAGAAGATCCATTAGCTACGAGAGGGTTTGCCTATTTACATACCGAGCAATCGATCAGTCAAGGAAGGGACAGGTAATATTTTTGAGTATCAGATATGAAAGGGGTGAAATTTAGAGCATGTTGTGAGGGTTTCACAAAATGCTAGGTAGGAGATGCCCATTCACAGAATGTTTCCACTTTAGAAATTTATTCATGAGAAACTGGTAAAGTTACTCCTTGCTACGCCTTCTAGTTCTCCAAGTGGTGGTTGCTGATGATGGTGATTAAAAAAAAATAAATCCCTAATCCTCCTTTGGGGAGGTACAGTAGGTTGATATATTTTTAAAGAAAGACTTGCCATGTTTCTTTTCAGAGAATGCCTGTGGGGCCCCGAGGTATTTCCATAAATCAAGATGATACTAGAAGCTTGGCTTTGCAGAACACCCGCTTCTTATTTAGTCATTTATTTGGTAATTAAGGAACCTTAAAAAATAATGCCTAGCAGGGTAAGAATCTTGCAAGCAGCAAGAAAAAGATGCTGTGGGCATCATTGGGTAAGTTAATTGGTTGACAGTTTGAGGGCACCTGTCATGCTGATTTGTGGAAATTAAACTGCTTTGGCCAAAGCATTTGTTAAAATCATATTACCTCCTATTTGCTTTGCTATGACATTTTCAATCTGTATTTGGGAACAAAATAATTATACATTATAAATTTACCAGGCATTTGGCAAAAGGAGGACATGTCCTCCTTTTTCTCCTCATGTCGTCTGTACAGCAGGCATACTCTTAAAATTAAACACTGTCAGTCTTTTCAAGTATCTCTTACTATGCAGCTTTTCTCCGTGGGGCAGTGCTTTCCTAATGTGCTAACTGAAAAGTTAACAAGCTCCATTCTGTGACCTTAATTTGTTGATTATAGTCCTCCCGACAAAGCCTTACTCAGTTACATACTGAAGTTTTTGCCTAACTGGCTCTAGCACATTCCTACAATTGAAAAACCAGTCTTTCTGATGCTGGAAAAAAGTTAATTGTACATTTATATAGATGTCAATACATTCTTCTTCAGATTTTCCTTGGAATTTTTTGTTGCAGATGCTGAGAAAGTTAAACAATTAATGTCCCCTTTATTAATTAATGTCCACCATTTATCCTCCTAAACAATTAATGTCCACCATTTATCCTGCTTTCTAATTGTTTACCTCCGGGGCCTTCAAACTTGACAGCTTTAAGACTTGGGAACTTCAACTCCCAGAATTCCTCCTCTAGTCATGTTAGCTCAGGAATTCTGGGAGTTGAAGTCCACAAGTCTTAAACTTGCCAAGTTTGAAGACCCTTGGTTTACCTAGTAACTTTAAATCCAAGGGATACTAGAGTTCAAAAGGATAATGTGATAGATTCGGAGACTGATAATTTCATTGTAAAGTTTTCAATGTTTCTCTCATTTAAACACTCACTTATAGATGTAGACAGGCAGTCCTCACTTAATGACTGCAATTGGGACTGGCAACTCCATTACTAAGTGATGTGGTCATTAAGAAAAACGTTGCATGACCATGACAGACTTACAACCTCACTTCTGCTGTAGTTGTTAAGCAAGACATCAGGTGACCACAACTTGCAATTTACTGCCCGCTTCTCCATCGACTCTGTTTACTAGAAGCAGCTGTAAAGCATGCAGATAGTGACCTTGTGGTCACAAGGACTACAATGGTTGAAAAATGTGAGGACCGGTCATTAAGTTACTTTTTCAGTGCTGTTATTAAACAGGGCAGTCATTAAGCAAGGACTACCTGTTGTGCGTGGAGAAAGTTAAAACTACAATAATTTTTGGCTGATGGCTTCCTATGTGAAAGGAAGTTTTGTGTCTCTAAAGAAATAATCTTTTCACTCTCATTCTACCTGCCCACCAATAAAAAGGATTTTATCATTTGATTTTATTGAATGAATATATTTCTAATGTGGTCTGAACTTGACTATTATATGTCAGTGTTAATGGAAGAAACTATTTCTA